ATATGGGAGATTAGCTAGAATAGCCTACTTTTTTTTTAAAATAGCTAGAATAACTTTACTATTTTTTTATTGCTGAAATAATCTATTTTAGATTTTTTTTTTCTTTCATAATACCAAAATTGTCCTTCGCAGACTCTGCCGAGGTATTGGCAGACTCTGCCGAAACATTGGCAGACTCTGCCAATATCTAAAAATACGCAGACTCTGCCGAACATTGGCAGACTCTGCCGAACATTGGCAGACTCTGCCTAACATTGGCAGACTCTGCCGAACATTGGCAGACTCTGTCAAAACATTGGTAGATTCTGCCGAAATATTGGCAGACTCTGCCGAAATATTGGTAGACTCTGCCGTCTGCCGAAACATTGGCAGACTCCGCCGAGGTATTGGCAGACTATGCGGAAACATTGGTAGACTCTACCGATGTATTGGCAGACTCTGCCAATCTCTAGAAATACGCAGACTCTGCCAAAACATTGGCAGACTCTGCCGAACATTGGCAGAGTTTACCAATGTTCGGCAGAGTCTGCCAATACCTCGGCAGAATCTGCTAAAGACAATTTTGGTATTATGAAAGAAAAAAAATCTAGAATAGGTTATTTCAGCAATAAAAAAATGGTAAGGTTATTCTAGCTATTTTTTTTAAAAAATAGGTTATTCTAGATAAATTTTTCATAAAATATTAATAAATTCAGACGATTAGAAAAAAACGTCTTATTTAGATTGTTTTGATACACACCCCTGTATATCCACATACGCATAGGAGATCTTGTAGAATCAAAGATTTAGATATACATAAATAAGTTCAGCTTCCTTAACAACGGATACTGCATCATAGCAATCATTGTAGCAGTAAATTCTCCTTGGTTCTCACGCTTAAGATCTAGCTCTAAACCACGTCGCTATGTAACAATAAAATATTGGTAACAAAAAATAAAAGCATCATCATTCTAAATTTCTAAAAATTTTACTTTTCTTTTTTAAAATGGGAGAAACTTACCTAAAGACTCTCTTAGAACCTTCCATTGGAGATGCTCTAACTTATAAGTTATCCTAGCTAATCCTAAAAAATGGCAAGTTATAAAAATTTTCAACAGAATATTGATCGACTAGATACATAGGGTTGACCAAATTAATTAACAAAGAAAAGGAATTAAGGATATTGAATATTCATGTGCAAGTAAATCATAAATATCTTTCCATATTCTTGGTGATAAAAATAAAATCACCATCGCGAGGCAAAAACAGAATCAGTATAAAACTATAACGAGTAGGAGAAGAGTATTCATCGGAAGAAAAAAGAAATGAATTTATTTCTGTATCTAAGGGAATTGGAAGGAGGTTTCGACTTTGAGAAAGCAGTGTGTAATCACGGCTTCTTCATGATGGCTCCAAACGTGTGGAGCCCTAAAAGAAAGTCATTAAGTCGACCCCTAATGCTTTCAAATTCCTCTTTGGTCATGGTGACCATTTCTCATCCTCACATCCACCCTTTTCTTGTAATCCAAGTCCACGGCATCGACAATGTCAGGAGAGATGACGAAGAACTCATCTTCCAACAAGTGAGAAGGATGCTGAGATTCACGTCCAAGGAGGGAGGTGACGTGACCGCGTTTCATCAACTTCACAAGGCCGCAAAGGAGAGTGGTTTCGGTCGAATTTTCCGCTCCCCATCTCTCTTTGAGGATATGGTCAAATCTATTTTGTTGTGTAATTCTACTTGGGAGAGGACACTACTTATGGCTTCTCGCCTCTGCGCATTGCAGTCAAAGCTAGCCGACCGTACAAGGAGGTCTAGAAAGAGGAAACGAGACCAGGAACCTAAGAAAGAAACATGCGGAAACTTTCCAAGTGCTAAGGAAATAGCTAGCCTTGATAAAGATTTTATCAATGAGCACTGTAAGCTTGGATACAGAGCAAAATGGATAATTGAGCTCGCAAAGATGGTTGAACGCAAATCACTGAATCTTGAAGAGATGGAAAAGAGAGAGATGGAACCGGCAAAGGTGATTGGGAAACTGAGAAAGTTAAAGGGCTTTGGTGTTTTTGCAACGGCGACGGTGCTTATGTGTATTGGTTATTACCATCTTGTTCCATCCGATACTGAGACCCTAAGACTCTTACGAGAGGTATATATATATACATTTAATTTCCTTTGTAAAATCAGGTATATATCAAA